AGGCGGCAGGTCGCTTCCTTCCCTGTGCCATGGTGTTCGTATTTGCTTGCCCTTGTCTTCCTTCAGTTTCTTTGCGAAGTGGTCCTTCTCTTCCTGTGTGATGTTCTCATTGAGGTCTGCAGCAGGCCGCGCATTGGAATTGCTGTAATCTCCATACTTGTCAGTCTCCTTGTCCACGCCTCTGGGCTTGGTCGCATAGCATCTGAATTGGGAGGATGCCCTAAGCTGTACTGATATTCGTGGAGAGTTGCGTGTGAATAGTGGCGCGCATCGAGCGGTCGGGAATGTTGAGGCGCGTGGGAGCGAGGCCAGCGCCGACAGTCGGTGCCTCATTGTCGGCACAGGGATGATGCAATGGCCGGGGAGATCGGATCGCGGCGTAATACACGGAGACGCGAAGACGTAGTTGTGTCGACACTTCAACAGATCTCAGGAGACACACACGCGACAAGCAGGGTTCTAGCATCCACATCTTGGGCGACGTCATTGCTGGTAATGAGTGGCTTGAAGCTGTGGCTGCGTGGCTGGAGGTCCTCATCAACATCGATGTGCCAGGTGCGATCTTCCAACATATGTCATCTCCACCTAAACAAAGCAGCCCGTACTAGCTGGATACAATTGCAATAATACCAACAGTAGCTTCTGTGAGCTATGCGATTGTGGAACTTACCTGCGAAATTGGCATTGTCTCAATTTTGATACTTCAAACTATCGATGCGGATGTGAGTCGCAACATCGGCGGTAACGGACATAACGCCTCTGAGTACGCCAATTGGAACAACTATGTGGACATCACGTCAGATTCTTCACCGACAAAATTCCGTTCTTGTTAGGAGTACGTGAGAATGAGGCGTACGTGAGGCATGAGGGCGTTGCGGCTTTAGCGGAGATATTCGACTCAACATCACTTATCCACGAAGTTGCATGGGTCCGCTAATGCAACTGGCTGACACTCTCAAAGTCTGTATCACCGAACGTATTCTAAGTTGCCATGTGTGAGTATATAATAAAGACCTATGTGGGCAAGTCCTGCATTATCACACCAGCTCAGCAACTTCCACTTCTACCTCAGAACGTCTCGTCTCTACGCAGCCAACTCTATCAAAATGGTCAAGACATTCCAGTTCCAGGACATCCAAGTCCCGTCTCCAGGCTTTGGCTGTATGGGTCTCAGCCATGGACTGGGTAGCAACCTCAGCCTTGAACAAGCCGAGCCCGTTCTCCTCAAAGCCATTGAACTCGGTTGCACTTTCTGGGACACTGCCGTCGTGTACCAGGCAGGTGTGAACGAAAAGCTTCTAGGAGACTTCATCCGAAAGCACAACGTCCGTGACAAGGTGTTCAGTAAGTTCTCCTAATTAGAGATCAAGATCATTACTGGCAGTGTCGCTGATAGCCTATGTTCAGTTGCCTCAAAGTGTGGCGTTGCATGCTTCGATGGCGAGTCAGGTGTAACGAATAGCCCAGCTCATATCAAGAAATACATCGATGGTACCATTGAGAGGTTGGGATTTACACCCGACCTCTATTACCTCCACCGCATCGACCCCAACACCCCCCTCGAACAATCCATTCCCGCACTCGACGAATGCCGCAAGGCAGGCAAAACCAAGTACATCGGTCTTTCAGAGTGCTCAGCCAAGACACTCCGAAAAGCAAACTCAAGTACAATTTCCCCTAACCTATCAGCCTTCAACTTACTAATCCGCTCAAGTCGCCAAAATCCACGCCATCCAAGCCGAATACTCCGCCTTCGAGACCCTCCACGAAACCGACTCCCTCATCGCCGCCGCCGCCGAACTCTCCATCTCCTACATCGCGTACTCACCCCTCGGCCACGGCTGGCTCGTCGACAACTTCGATTACGCATCCCCCGACGACTTTGCGCCGGACGACTTCCGGCGTACTGTCCCCAAATTCCAAGGCGAGAATTTCTACCGCAATAAAGCGATTGTGGAGGAGATTAAGAAGTTGGCGAAGAAGAAGGGGTGTTCGACGAGTCAGATTGCGTTGGCTTGGGTAAGTAGTCAGGGGATGATGCCGATTCCGGGGACGACGAAGGTGGGGAGGTTGGAGGAGAATTGGGGGAGTAGGGATGTGGAGTTGACGGAGGAGGAGATGGCGGAGATGAGGAGGATTGTTGATCAGGCGAAGCCGGAGGGGGAGAGGTATGGGGAGGCGCATCGGGCTTGGGTTGGGCATTGAGATTCGAACAAGATTATGGTGTGGGCTTCTTCTACTCGTAGATTGCGAGATGATCGTTCCAGCTTTCTTCGTCAAAAGAGAGGCAGTGTAGGCTGCGCTGAGGGTATATACGAACGTCCAATCCAACCTTACGCAAGACTATCTGAAAAATCGATTCCACTGTTCAATATCAGAAGTATCGATAGGAATAACCACACCAACTCCGAAACCCTCCTACCGGCTCCGATACGTGTCCAAAAACTTCAACCTCTCCACAATCCCTCCCCACCCATCCAGCGTATGTTTCTTCTCCAACAAAGCCAATTGATACCCATCACCACCCTCGACAGCATCATCATCTTCTTTACTCCATATACCCCTTTCCATCGGTAAAGGCTTTCCAACCTTCCACGCATCCAGTACTTTTTCTGCCAAGTCAGGACGCAGACCTGTGCGTTTAAGTGCTTTGCTAATGAATTCGTTGGACCATTTCTGTTCGTTCAGCTCGGTGTAGAAATCGATGATTTCGTCGCCTGTAAGGGGTGGGTCGGGGTCTTCTTCGCCTGTGGATGAGGTGGATGGTGCGGGGGATGAGGATATGAGGAGCGGTTGGGGGGGATGCTGCGAGTAGAGGGTTTGGTCTGGGTCTTCTTCTTCTTCTCCTTCTTCTTGGAGGGAGCGGCGAAACTCTTCCATGGATTGGGTGGTTGATGCGTCGGATGGTGGTTGTTCGGGTGGTGAGGAGAACCGCTGCGGTTGTCGAGGAGCCATGTTGGGAACGTAGTCTTGTGGTCTTGGGAACTTGTCTTGTGTTGGCGACGATAGGATGGCTTGAGTGTCGAAATTAGAGACCTTCTGTCGGGTGGCACGCGGTGTAGGTGTATTTGAGGGCAGATCATCGCCAGATATCGGGTCTTGGTCTGGCGGTGGTGAGAGTGGGTGTAGCTCGTCGATGTCAGGAAAGTCATCTGACTCTATGCTTCCCACCTCTTCTTCCTTCAGATCCTCGTCTATATTCACGATGGTAGCATCTTCATCCATTGCATCGAGTTCTTGAGACCGTATTTGCTCTTGCATCAGCTCCTCGGCATCTTCTGACGTCGAATTAGTCTGGGAACTCGCAGCGGAAGATATCTCCACGGGCTGGTTCTGCGTGCCCTCGGCTTTGATCGGTTGCATTGGCTCTTCCTGGGTAGGCGTCGCGCTTCCGCTCTTCCGACGTTTGGTGGGAGGAGCTAGTTCTTCCTCATCTTCCTGCTTCACAAAGTTGTCTTCCCGTAATCGCTTAGTGTACCTGGCAAGCTGTTCATCATAAAAGTTCGGAGATTCTTGGCGAGCGGTGGATGATGATGGCATCTTAGGTTCCGATGCGACTTTGGGTGGATTTCGGTTATGCAGCACTTCCTCAGAGTGTGCTCCCTCAGAGGCTGACCGCTGTACCAGCTCCACTCTATTTCGTGTTGTTGGAGAAGGTTGTGGCAGTGTTTCGTTTGGTTTCTCGATCTCTGCAGGCTGCTGACTGAGCGTCTGACAATGATTTGCCTTTGCGGCATCGTGTTTCTGTTCCATCTTCTTCCTGATCTTCTCCCTTTTCGATACCGGATCGCGTAACCACTGTGGACGGACTACCTTCTCGTAATACTGCCGCCACTGCTCGGCAGTTTGGTTCCCCTGATTCTCAGCCCACCCATCCCAAGCTGAGATCCAGTCGTCTTGTCCTTCCACGCCATCGATAATCGCTACAAAAGCATAGCACTCCAGCCAGTCGTCTGTGCTGAACATAACTTCTAACTCTTCCACACTATAGTCGCGGTTTGCTTTTGCTTTGCCCTTGTTATCGAGATTGGTCGCACTCGGAGCCTGTTCTGTTTTAGGTGTTTGCTGTTCTGTAGGCTTGGAAGGGGCTGGAACTGGGGGCATACGTTCGTTCGACTGGTCGGAAGGAGGAGACGGAGGAGCGTTATCAGGTATCGTGAAGGCCGAGAGCGGACGTTTGCTAAGTGTCTTGACCCATCGGTCGCGCCATGACTGCCATGTATGCCGTGGGTACTGTCGTTCGTTAGCGACCACTCCCACGCGCGTTTTCTTTGTTGGCGCATACCTTGGCTTCGAGCTGCTTGTATAGCTCGTTCCCACTGATGGATGCGCCTTTAGATTGGGCGTCGCGCACCCATTTGGAGAGTATCCTATCTTCTTCTGCTGTGTACGATGTCCTTCCGCTCTTGGTGGGTTGATGAATGGAACCAGCCTCTCGCGCCTCACCTAACGGTGGTCCGGCTGTGTAATCTTCGGGATCTTGGAGTTCTCCCTCCTTGATGGACTTTTCTATGAACTCGTAGGATGTTGATCCGGGAGGACAGTCTCTCCGAGCGTGGTCCACAATTAGGTAGTCCGCTTTCTTCTCTAATGCCACGATCTCTCCGCCGTTGGCCTTGATGTCGTCCAGTAGCCGTTTCCGCGATGCTACGCGCTGCGCGACCCAGAACTTCTTGCCAGCGAATAATTGGCCGCCGGATGCGAAATCAAAGTCTTCCGCGACATCGGTGTATACGGTCGGCCCAGCCATGGTGGGGTGGTGTTGTCGGGTTATGGTGGTGGTGAATGACGCGTTGGCTCAGGCGCGACGCGTGCTCACATGGGTCGCATGATTCACGCGGGGTCGCTTAGCCTCCGCGGCTGCTCAGCCCTATCCGACGCTTGCGCTGTCACCTCTGTGGAATGACAGACAGAGCGCGACGTGATGCCATAGAGCTTCGATTCGCGTCTTCATTCTGTTCCGCCATGCCTAGTATCGCAGCCTCTAGGTCTCTTTCACCATGACCGTCGCCCAAACAATCATCATCTTCACCATCACAGTGTCGCTGGTGACCTTTGTAGCTTTCTTCGGACGACTGCCGGCTTTTAGGTATCTACGCTCCTCCTCCTCGCATCATTTATTCTAATAATCCTAGAAACACGCCCATAGGCTTCCTCAACCGCCTCTTCCTCATCCACATCCCTTCCGCATTCCGAAAGCTCGATCTTGCCCTCACCAATGGCCGCATTACCAATGGCGGCGCCCGCCTGGGCAACTACCTCATGCACGACAAGCACCCGCTGGTCGTCATCTTCTTCCTCGGCCTTGTGACCGCATGCGCGACGCTGTTCCTGCCCACCGTTTGGCACCTCATCCGACCGCATCACAAGCTCCTAGCCTTCGTTCTACTGCCGCAGCCATACATCTTCCTATATCTCAGCGCAAAAAGCAACAGCCAGACATACATCACTACGCTCAATCATGCCGAGCAGATGCGACACTACCCGTACGACAGGGTGCTGTACTATCCAGGCACGCCGTGCCGAACATGCAAATTCTTGAAGCCAGCGCGGAGCAAGCATTGCAGTATATGCAAGACATGCGTGTCGAGGATGGACCATCATTGCATATGGGTCAATAACTGTCTGGGGCGGGGCAACTACAAGTGGTTTCTAGCCCTGCTGCTATCCACCGGCATATTGATCGCGTATGGCGCATATCTGGCCTACTACAGCCTTTCGCCGTTGGTTCACAGACATTACCTGAAGTACGAAGGATGGTATAGATACAGCCCCAAGCAAGGCGTAAACATGAAGAGCTGGTTTGGATACTTTGACAGGAAGACCCACTATTTTCTCATCTACACAACCATCTACCTCGACATGGGCGGTGTGCGCGGATCTGGAGTTGGACTACTGGCTCTTCTCACATGGCCGCTTCCGTTGGGTCTGCTCGCATACCACGTCTACCTGATCTGGGCCGGCATGACTACGAACGAGAGTGCCAAGTGGGCGGACTGGCGAGACGACATGGCCGATGGCGTCGTTTTCCTGGGCCATAGGCGGGAGGATACCATGCAAGAATATCGCTCAGCAACACCTGCACGGGAACATACACATGCTTCCGCGCATTCTTCCTCGTCAACGTCGCCCTTCCCGACTCCTCCGGAAACCCCGCCAGAAGACGAAGAGCCGCCAACAACATGGCCGCTGGAAAGCAGACACATTCTCATCCGCACGCGAAATGGTCAACCGCCCAAAACACTTCCGAGCCGCATACAGTCAGTAGCTAGAGAAGATAGCTTTGAGCGTGTGTGGAATCTAGCGGCGGTGGAAAATGTGTACGATTTGGGTTTCTGGGATAACATCGTGGAGGTGCTGTCGAACTGATGTATATTTTGAATCAGACCTGTTTACCAACATGATAAATGTCTTCATGAGTTTTGGCATAGCCGGTCTTTGAACCTCTTGTCCTTGGGTCTATAAATTGCTCGTCGAACCACCCACAACCCTTCTTCATTCCCACCTTCACAAAAAGAGCATTCCAAATGACTTTCATATTCGACCCATGACCTCCTCCCTCAAAACTAGATGCTAAAACACATCGCGCATGTTCTTGTGGCTTTCTGAGAGCTAGCTTTAGACAATTTTGGAAAAATGGTTCGCATCTTCGATGTCTCAATGGAAACAGGACTATCCTCCGACATGGTCCAGCTACACGGTAAGTCAAGAGCTCGCACATACATAGTGTTTGGACTTTTACGGACTTCTTTGCTTGATTTGCACATATCTGCTATCCCTCATAGCCATCACATCACATACCAAAAATTGGTGGAGAATTGGCCATGTTTTCGCCTTCTGTCTTGAGCCCAAAAGACTGCCGAAGATCGGAGCTCTGACGCGCGATTACAAATATCTGCTCCGTCGCTCCTTCAAGCTCTGTACTTCTACCACAACTTTGATGTTCGTGTTTCCAAAAGACTGCAAAAATGCCTTTATGTGCGCGAGTCTGGCTTGCGTTTTCGATGTCTCCGAAAGGCCACAACAACAGCTATATGTCTCGAGATTCCAAGAAACTTCCCAAAGAACTGATGTCCACGAAACCACCAAAACGAAATCCTACTGGATCCATGTTTGCTGTGCTGCGACAGTATCCAAACGTAGCCGATGAGTTGCCATGTCGAAGTAGAGACGATGTGTATAAATACCGTCCGTTCCGCCTTCCTGGACCACCTGTCACTCTTCCTCCAACATCGAAGATCACACAGTTTCAAAAACGCTAGAAACAGATTCATGCGCGAGTGACATGTTCTCGCCTCCAGGGTTTCGAAAAAGTGGTGACATCACTACCATGTTCTGAGAAGTTGGGAATAGTCCTAAAGAAATCCCGTGTATATCATGTGTTACCCAAAACAACAAAAACTTGGCGCATTCGGTATTATGAGCGGGCTGTTGTGTCACAATCAAAACAGGCGGCTATAATGGATCAACGATGGACAGCTCCAATGCCTCCATTCGAATCTTGCAGCGAAAAGGTCTATGCGAGTCCGGTTTCCAGTCTAACACAACCTCCCGTCGCGAGAAGCGGACAACAACAGAAGGCGGTGCCTGAATGATACTATCAGATAAGTACGAGCTTTCAGACCTCGAGGTCTGAATACACGTACTGAGATAAGAAGACTGAAGCATAGCCATGATAGCGGTGTCAATGCCGCATGTAGAGGCTTTCCTCCTAGGGTTGAGCGTACAAGGGCGATGCCCTTACAAAGCCGGACAGGGATGTGACTTGGGACCAAAGATGCAAGCAAGTAATGTCTTAGACAATGTAGACTTTAGGTACGATGATATCTTGACACAACGCAATACGAATTGTAGCCTGCACTAGTACCTGTTCTCATACCGAGACTCAACCATCCGTCTTGGCTGGCGTGCTCGGAAATTTGTCTTCGCGATTGCCATGTTTGAACGCCCACGTCGAATCATCCATACCACTGTGTGCCGCCGTCATGTACTTCCGGAAAGCCGATGACATCTGCACAACCTGGTTGAGATGCTTCTCAGTCATCTCAGGCGGCTCTTTCTTGTCGCGCTTTGCGTCAAAGATGGCGAGAGCGACTGCAGTTTGAAATGCTGCGAACGAGAAGGTTAGTTGTATTACACGAAGCGCTAATAAGGCGATACTTACCGTTCCTGATTTCCCGTCCATTCCACTCCAAGGACTGGACTTCTTTGCTCTTGACGTAGCTCTTCGCGTGATACTCGTAGAGGATTTCGCGTCCGCCACGCTTGTGGTCATCTTTGAGCTTCCTGAACATGTTGTCCCATATTTTGCTACGCGATTCGTTCGTCAGCTTGTCGTATCCGAGCGAGAGATGGATGCGCGAAATGAAGGCTTCGTCGAATTGACCAACCCGATTCGTGGTCAAGAAAAGTATGCCTTCGAAATAGTCGAGAGCTCTGAGAAACACTATGGTGACAGTAAGCGTCGATCAGCACATGTTCAAGGTAAAGACTTGCCTGATACAATGCTGTTGCGACTGAGGTCGTGCATTGTTCGCTGCTCGAGATACACATCTGCTTCGTCCAAAAGGACTATAGCGCCCCAGTCACTCGCATCTTTGAAGTATCGGAGGAGGCTCCTTTCCATTGTTTGAGATTCGTGGCCCAAGTCAGCCGCAGTGATGCTGAGTAGCGGCCGTCGTGTATATTCTGCAACTGATTCTGTGACGCATTAGTTACTGCAACACTTGAACATGACTTCAGACCGCACCAGCTGTGAGCGTTTTTCCAGTACCTGGAGGCCCATGCAATAGTATAATCTGGCCCTCGCCCTTTCCACGTATGAAGTCCCCACTGAACCGATCAGGCCTATCGCTATCGGTATAGACCTGAGCTACGGCTTTGATCAGCTCTTTGTTGTTACTGTCCATCACAAGCCTATCAATCGCTGTGTCCACCATGACTGGTTCTTCCAACCCCTCAACAGCCAGTAAATCTACCATATGGTAAGCAACCCGATGATTAAAATGACAGTGACTTTACCGTAGGTACGCTCTTTCAACATGAAAGCATAAACATGTGACCCCATGAGCATATACTGATGCGCAGAAATCTCCCCAGAGCTCTTCGCATGGATCCAGAAATAATCATGAAATCGGTTTTTACCGTGGCTTCCTTGCGACGTGCTTGAATCTGCGCATGGATGGCACTCACAGCTTGCCACACGCATTGACCTCCACAACGTATCGTCAATCTCTGGTACACGATGCTCGTTATGGGATGTAAGGTGGGTAGGCATCCTTTCGTGTGTAACGACAACACGTGCTCGTTTGTACTGCATGCTTTCAGCGACCAAACTTATGAAATTAATGCAGTGCTGACAATACCTTCGCATCTGCCAAACCTGTACCAGAGTACTGCAAGAAACATGGCTGGCTTGTGTATGCAAGATATCTTTTGCCCCGGTCTATCAACTTCTGTTTGAGTCGGCCGCCGTCAAAGCTGTCGTTGAAATCGACAGGGAAAACTGGCAGATCCTTCACCTCTTTCTCGTTGTCGAAAATTGGGACTGGAATGTTTCGAGCAACAGGCCGCGCGTACTCTCCATCACATATCAGATTCCAGACGGATACTTGGTAATCGACGTTTACCGCCTTTCCATCGACCTCGATGACGCCTCCATCGACTGCATGCACGATATATGCATTTAACAACCCGTCTTCCTCGCGCACGTATACATCCGTCCCTGGCTTTAGGAGCAACCAGTATGCCGCGAAAGTAGTAACGGATAGCTTTTCGCGCCGGGTAGAGACACTTGCACCAAAAGGTATCTTCCGTTGCGAGCTCAAATAACCAATGAGCAAATCGATATGAGAATCAGCCCTCTCGTTGAAGCTTGCGGAGTGTAGAGACCGGAGGCTGCTTTCATTGGTCTTATATCTCATCAGATCATCCATGTGATGGAACAGATCCTTGTACGGATAGTCGAACTCGCCGGAGACCAGACCGAACACTTCTCCGTCCGGGGATTTAGACGCATACTCGATGACTGATTTCAGAATGTTCAGTAGATACGACGAATTGATCTTCAGGCTGGTAGATCTAACGCGATCGAGAGGCCCCAACTTGGCCTTTACTTCAGCTTCAGCATCGTCTTTGATCTGCCGGTAGTGTGGAGTTTGAACGGTCTTTATCTCTTCCAACGCTGGCCTTGTTGTATCATCGTGAACAGTCCCGACCTGCATAGGTTCGTCGTATGTGCGCTCTGCCACCAAACAGCCGTCTCTGTCTTTCGAGCTGACTTCGACGTAGCTGACAGTGTAACGCATTCGATCCTGACAATCGGGCTCTGAATCCGAATCCGAATCCGAGTCGTAGGAGGAATGGGGGAAAAAGAAATACTGCTTTCCGTGTTCAACAGCGTGCTCCCAGGTTTCGGGAGAGACCAACCCGTGGCCGATCTTCTCAATAGTAATATTGTTGGACTCTATATCGGCCAGTTTTTTGTTGGAATGGGAGTAGTATGTCTTGAGTAAAACTAAGACCACCTACCAAATAAAGTCAGTACGGTGACATGCAGGGTATTTCAGACTAAGATTTGCATACTTTCCACGAGTAACACGCTGACCAAGGGATGACATAATACTCCGTGCCGACAAACTTCACACTGATATGTCGAAGCCCACCGTTTGCCAAGCTCAGATCCGGTGAGTCATCCGTCCCTACCTCTGTAGCGGCAGTTATAGCATTGTTGACGATAGCCATAGTTTCCTTCTGTGAGGCGTCCAACTCTGGTATTTCGTCTTCGTCGCGGTCTGCTTCAAGACCTCCTTCATTGTTTTCATCTTGACCTTCCTTTTCTTTCTCGTCAAGCTTCTCAGTGCTCTCTTCGCTTGCGCCGGAGTTCTTGACTTCCGTGTGTGCGTCGTGACCAGTGTCATTGTGAGGAGGCTGAGCAGCAGGGGTCATAATGGCCGCGACGGTATCATTCGTACCCATCGTTGACTGTACAGACTGCGGTTAGAATAGCGATTGTCGTTGGTCGTTATTTTGTCTTCATGCCCAGGTCTTGATGTAAGGCACAGGTTTATGCCGAAGCCGCGCGAGTTCGAGCCCATAGCCAGAATTAGGTCGACGCCCTCTGAACATACATCTCCACTGGAGCCGGTGAACCTATTTGGGTGGGCCCCGGGACATCTGCGGGAGACAGCATAAATTGGGATCACGAGGGTAATCACGAGGGTAACGCAACATCGGACAACAAACCTTTCAGGGATCAATGATTTTGACCGGTGAAGCCAGATCCGCATAGATACTCTGTGGATCGTGTATCGCTCAGTGTAAGCGCGCGGTGCGTCTGCTGTGCTAGTACAGGGAGCTCAACAAGGTACAGGTGTGCAGAATGGACGTGGCGATGCAAGTCGGATAGCGCAAGGTAGACTGCATATGTGCCAGGCACTCTGTATAACTTCAGAACGGTCTAAGACACCCGTATCGTGAGGCAGCATGCAGCCGGTGTACTGCTCCATTTTCCAAAGACAATCGAAAGCGCGCGAGGATGAAGACCATGGAAAGGATGTCACAAGCCGATATCGACAGTCTCCAAGGCCAGACCATAGTACGGAATTTCACGAACAGCTTACCAGGCTCAACGACACTCGAGCGTGTGACCAAGAGCGCGCAAGAGGAGCAAGATGCCTCGGAAGAACAACAGATCGAGACCAGAATGCGGAAGCTGTTCCAGGACGACAACGCAAGGTTTGCATAAGGGACAGGCCATGTAATACCTCAGGCTGATCGTGCCGACCAGTGATTCCGTTTTCGACGCCGTAGAAGACGCTAAATGTCGATTGGCGAGAGTGTGCAATGACTTCGAAGCGCCTGAATCGCCATCGTCGTTAGTAAAAGCGAGAAGGAGCCGGAAGACAGCGCAAATGAAGGCGAACGAGGCTATACAAGGCATAGCTGCTCATGGATTTGCCCAGCTACATGAGTATGTCAGCACTCTAGAGGCAACATGGAAAAGCAAACAAGGAAAGGTTAGCAGTGCCCAATAAGTTGAGAGAGGCCACAAAAACCATCGATGGATACTGATTGATGTCATAGTCCGGTCGGTTTTTCCAGCGATTCCGAGATGTTTGTAGAATACTAGACGATCACAAAGGCGTATTCGACATTTTCCCATCGCAGACCGGTTACGCATCTGTACTGTGTGGTGGAATTTCTCTTATCGTCCGTGCTGCTGTAAATCACGACGAAATCGCTGACGACATCTCGGATGCGATAACCACGGTCACTGAGAAAGCAGCACGGGCAAGCAACATTCTGCTTGTTCTTCGTACACGAGCGATGCACAGGCTCCTCTCCGAACTTTATGCACAGGTCCTCCTCTTCTATCGCGATGTCATAGAATGGTACAAGAAGTCGCGCACGTCTCGCTTCCTCGCAAGTTTCGACGAGTCTTTGGGAGAGCGATATAGAAAGGCAAAAGACAAGATCGAGGATATGCTGAACGAGATGTATAGGGAGAACAACATCGCGAACACCGCCCGGGTAAAATGGTTTTGTACCGAGACAGAACGGCGCGATGAGGTTCTCCGTCAGCGGCAGCAAAACCCCACTCATAACGTGACGCGTCCAGGGCAGCTAGCACACATAATGCTCCTGAGCTCATTCCGAATGAGATGTATTGAGGCTCAAACTCGCACCCGATCCGGAAGGTCCGCACAGCAGGACACTGTGACATCGTACAAAGAGGTACGGAAGGACGCCAGCGGTATAAGCCGAACGGGAGCGAGAGACTTTGCAGTTGGGTTACAAGCGCATATCGTGGGAAACGAAGGCTATTCGCTTCTCAACGATGGTCGGTTCTGGCTCCCTGGCGCCGACATAGGGTGCAAGCTTCGCGCCTGGTTCGATCCCGAAGTGATCTCCATGACACTGTGGATATCGAGTGACAACGTTCTGCAGTCGGATCGTCCAGGTTCGTATGCAGCTGCACTGAACATGCTGATTGTTGCTTGGGAGGCGGAGATGCCAATGATATCGCATTTTTGCGAGCGGCCTCGGTTCGCGACCCTTGGGACGGATCGCAACGTGGAGAAAGTCGGCCTCATCGGTCTGGTGTACAGCCTAACGTCTCAGCTGTTGCAATTCAAGTTTGACAAAGACAATTTCAAAGTCTCTGAAGACGCGCTACGCGGATTGGATGGTTCAGATGAAAGCTGGCCGGCAGCTCTCGGGTTGTTCTCAGCACTCCTGGCAGCAACTTCGCATCTCAGCATCTGCGTCATTGACAGCCTCAACGACCTCGCATTTGGCGCTGGTGCGCAATGGTGCGATGCTTTCCTAGGAGTGCTGTTCGAGCACCAGAAGTCATCAGCAGGCATCTTCAGAATTTTGCTTACCACTACCGGGCAATCGCGGGTGCTGCAGGATCATGTGAAGATGTCGGACCGCGTGTTCGCTCAGACAGAAGCGCGAGAAGTGATCCGAGGTGGGCATTGGTACGAAAGACCAGAAAGCTGAGGTGGCTGGACGCGTGTTGTTCGCGATGGAAGGTTCACTAGCGCGAAGTTGTGCCTCGGCGAAGAAATTTGGCATCCCCTCATGTGCACTGTTCGGACATCATTCCGATATCTTAAGAGCTTCATTCTAATAAGTTCCATCATTTAAGTAACCTCCAGGAATCCGTAGCTAGATGTTGATTTCCAAAACTTTTCAGCCTGCCATCCCGATCTTGCCACCCGTGGACGTCTAGCTATGAGCTTCCTTCTACCTAGGTAGTCTCCCGATACCCACCTGGGCATGCACACGTCAAGCGTGCCTCGGATAACCAATTCTATCCAAGGAGATCTTCATCGACAGAGAGAGCAACACCGCCACCTGCGTAAGCCCCAGCACCTGACGCGGTACTATTCTTGGCGGATACACAAGGACGCACAGTGTGTTCATCCGGAGATACCCACTCAGCGACCTTGGTGTCCAGCCCATGCATCGAGCCCGGCAAGCGACATCCCTCAACCCTCTTTCCCGCACGACCGCATTCGCCTCGCTGACAAATGTGACCGTAAGCACAGTTTGCAACACGGCAGACGCTACCCTTTGAGCATGCAGTACCCATCGTTGTGTGCTGTAGAACGTAGTGTACTTCCGGTTCAAGGGTACCGTGGTAGAAATCGCAGTGGACGTTTCCACATTTGTTGCGCAGGAAGTAGTCGATGCAGAGGTGATATTGGACTTTGGAGCGCGCGTCGTACGATTTGAACTCTTTGGTTGTTGGCGCCCGTACATAGATGTCGATCCGCTGCTTTGCGCTATTGATTGGGATGCGACCACCAATGTAGCAGGCTGGCAGTTGGAAGGAGAAGAGAGGTGACCATAAAGCCTTGTCGGTGCAGTTAACGTCCGGGGAAATCGCATTGGTATCGGCATGCTCTCCTGGGGTTGCGTCCTGCAGTCATATTAGCTAAAATTCAGACATAGCATGGGAGCTCGTACGGTCTCGGACTTGACTTCGCGTTTCTCCACAGGCTTAGTACCGCTGGTTGTGCTGCCCGACTTCATCTTGAACTTAGGAGGTGGCTCGAAGACTGCTGGGAATGAAACGAGGAGCAGACCCATCTTCCTCAATCCAATGTCCAAGCCATTTCCGAATACTAATGTTATCTTCGAAGTCTGTCCACGATAAGGCTCTAAAGCTTGGTGATACCATGACGATTCGGCAGCTGCTAAGAAGACGTGTTTGCATTGCTCGCTGGCCATGTAGAGTTTCAGGTTTCCTTCTTTACGTCAGTACACACTTGTCTTCGATGAAAGCAACGATAGCGTACCACATATCTTGTTCTTGATGCCACGATCATCTGGTGTCACCACGAGATCGAAGAAGGTGCCGACCCTTCCGAAATCCGCAAGGAAACCCGCAAGTGACGTGCTCTTATCGCTCGTCGCCGTGGTCATTGATAGCATCTCGAGGCTGGCGAATATACGTATGACCAAGCAGTACTTGCTATGTGCCAATTCGGGAAACTTGGCCTTGAGTTTCTCGCACAATGCATTACGCAGGAGAACTGAAGCTTCGGAGCCCCGTGGGACTTTCTTGTCAAATAATTCGTCGCAAAACTGTTACTGTATGAGAACTGTGTTGAGATGTACAGGTAGTGCGTACTTACTTTGTGACTTGATGCATCGATCAGCATTACGACGACGGCATTCTTGCTCTGAGTTTCCCAATCGGTACTCCGTTCCGTGTCCGGCGATTTGATGCTCTCATTGAGCATACGGTCATTCGCCTCGTTGTACTGCTTCATGAAAGCTCCATATTCGCAGGATACGTCCTGATCACGGATAAGTATGAGGAGCTATCAGATCTCGTTCGTGTGATACTTACAGAGAGTGTTCTCTGCAGAAGCTTGCCCTTGAGTTTCAAGGCCTTGAACTCTGCCTCCAAGTTTGTTGCATCCATTCTATCCGCCATAATGTGACCGAGAGTTTATCGGTCTAGAAAAGAGAGGGACAAGAGGTAAATTGCTTTGTTGTGGCAAAGAATCAGAAGGTGTGGGTAGAAGACCACGAAGAAGAAGTGAGAGAAGGAGTGAGCGAGAGGATACGGATTTTATAACAAGAAAGCCGTTGATTCAGAGCGGGGCGCTCCTCGAGAAGCTGCCTTTACCTCAGCAGCTGGAAGATATTGTATTGCTCGGATGATACCGTCTCTTGATGTACAGTTCTATTACCTGCCCATGCTTTATGCAACCACATCATTAGCCTCCTTCTCCCTCCGTTGCTCTTCTTTCTTTCCAAGCTTGCCCGAGCTCTGGTGAATACCCTCAATCACCTGCTTAATCTCCTGCAAAAAGCGATCTACCTCCTTCTCCGTACCCACCGTTATACGCAAGCAGCCCAGACATCCGTGCTCCTTGCCTCTAAACCTTACTACCACGCCCTTCTCTTCCGCCAAGCCCTCATACACCGCCAGCGCTGTCTCGTTCGATGGCTTACCGCCCTGATCCGCCGGCGCATCGAGTATCTGGTAGAGCAAGAAGTTCGACTCCACACCGCCGTGGAGCTTTCCAATGCCAGGGATCTTGGGCAGCTCATCGATCAGCCTGTCGCGCTGCTTGACAATGAGGTCCTTGTGGCTTTGCATGACTTGCAGGTGCTTCGGGCTCAAGGCGGCGCGCGCGATCTGGCTTGTTGGGTTGGGTATGTTGTAGGGCGCCTTCATGTTGTTAAGGATTTGGGCGATCGCTGGATCGGCGAATGCAGCACCTAACCGAATGCCTGCGAGACCAAAGGCTTTTGAAAGTGTTTGCATGACGACGAGGTTGGGCCATTCGGCTACCCACTCTGCCAGACTCGTTCCATCGGGCGCGAAGTCGATGTATGCCTCGTCCACCACCACAACGCCGTTCCATGGGTGTTCTAGTATCTTTTGTACGTCCTCCTTCTTGAGTAGCTTTCCGGTCGGGTTGCCTGGCGAACACAGGTACGCCAACTTTATGCTCTTATCCTCATCCATGGCATTCAGTATCGCGGGAACGTCGAGATCGAAGCTTGGTGTTTGTAGGGGAATCTTGGCCAGCGCGACGTCGTTGACCTGCGCGGAAACGCTGTACATACCGTATGTGGGTGGACATGTCAGGATCTTCTCCTTGCCGGGGACGCAGAAGGCGCGGATCAGGGCATCGATCGCTTCGTCGGAGCCGACACCCACGAAGAGGTTGGCGGGTGTTATGTTCTTGGAGGTGTGGGTGTGGGTGTTTCGAAGGTTGCAGAGCAGTTGTTTGAGTTCTTCTTGGTGACTGTATGAGGTCGTCAGCGTGTGCGATGCAAGCTGTCGCGGTGTGCATACGGATCTGGGTATCGGTTCAGGCCAAGCAAATCGACATCAATCGCGGAAGATGAGTCGGAAGTGCCATTGACATTCGCGCCAGGCAGCTTGCCCTCGCCATTCAACTGTAGTCCCGGCCCGTATGCGTTCTCGTTCGCGTCGAGGAGGATGTTGGTGCCGTCATCTTTGTAATCGCTACGCGTCGTGAGCTGGGTACCGCGGTAAGAGTCATGGATATTCACCTACTCGCGCGCGCATCGGTACGGCTCCAAGGCGAGAATATTGGATCGCGCGCATTTCTGCAGATCGAATGCCGTGTTCTTTGCGACCATTGTGTATGTTGTGGGCGGATAAAAGGAATTGGGGGTTGGAGTCGACGACCGCTATGTCCAGTCGAAGTTGGTGTTCGCGGGGAACTTTTTGTTTCGCGGGGCGAGACGCGGCGATGTCGGGAGTCATCACATCATCGGAGAACTATCTTGATTGAGGAACATCGATGCTAGTTCATAGGAGCTGCTCTTCGGCGCAGGTAATGATTTTCATTTTCGGGTGAACTATTTGCGTCCGGTGGGCGAGTATACAGTCAAAGCTGTTGGTCGAATGAGATAATACATGAACTGTGGTACGAGCTCTCAAGCCAGGAGGTCTTCGCAAGCTGTTCAGATTTCGATCAGAATACAATAGAGATGCCTGGTGTACTTCAGTACGGTACTAGATATCCTGCGTAATCCGAAAGTGTCTTGAGGACCTCCTCGGCCATGCGTCAACAGTGGCTTCGCAAACCACATATAATGTAGTATGCACCTAGGGCTTCTAATAGGATGTATCACAAGTACAGACAGTCTAGCCTCGAGTCTTTGTGGGTCTGTAAGATATAGGCTTGATTTGATCTAGTTGATCTTGGTCCAACTTTTCCCTACCCGATTTCCTGACTCGTATCTTTTCGAACTTGTTTCTCAACCACGTCAGGTGCTGACGCCTTTCTATATCTTGTTTCTATCCTGCCTTCCTTCCATCAACGTCCGATATGGTCTAGTGGCTAGGATTTGCCGCTCTCATCGCAGAGTAAGCTCGCAGCCTCACAGCAGCGCAGTGCCGGCAAGGCCCGGGTTCGATTCCCGGTGTCGGAAACAATTTCTTTTTGCTATTCTACACGTTCGGTACAATCTAGAAACATACTACAAGTGTTTGGTTTGAATGGAATCATTTTTGCCAACTCAACGCACCCAGCACACCACTCCCACCAACTCAAACACACCCAAGACCCACACAGACTTCCAGAGCGCCTTCTTCTTACACCCAGCAACTACTAGTGTGTTGGGGAAGAATGGTGGTCGATTACTGTTGGGTTGAAGTAGCGAAAGTGCCCTTTGGCTATGCTGAATCGACGACGACAGTGATATCCAACAGGCCACCTTATCTACTGCCTAACATCCGAAATGCGACTATCTCGCGGAGTCTAACCACTTTGTTTGACCCTCCCCAACTAAATAGAAAGTAATTGGCCACTGCTGGGTCGAAGCTCTGGCAAACCTCGTTGGTGAAGCATCCACCCAAATTGCTACCACACTTGTCTGCCCGCACTGCGCACCCTTTGATTAACGAAAGACGGGCACTTCATTCCATGTCAGATTCGCATTCAGTCTTACATCCATCAGCTTCTCTCATAGCAACAATCATTTCATCAAAGGTATCATAATCTACATCACTCACGCCAACGCGCCCATCGGGTCCCACAGCTCCAGCATCTTCGGCTTCTGCTCGAGCACCTTCTTGACCGTCGAGCTGACAACACTAGGGTCAACGACTGCCTGATACACAAACTGATCCATCCAAGCATCGCTCATGACAAAGTAGCCCTTGTCGCCTGCACGCTCACTCCACGAGTTCTCCACCCTCCAGCGCACCGGCTTGCCATCCACAACGTGTACAGCTGTCAAAACCATAGCATGCGTCATCTGGCTCTCACCGGTCTGCAGACGCTCCGCCTTGGACATGCCGAGCTTGATGTTGAAGCCGAGCTCGTACTCAAAAAGATCCGTGTCCATGATTCCCTTGGTGGAATCGGAGTACTTGCCCACGTCTGAACCGAAGAAGACTGGCATGCCTTTCTTAAGCATCGCAATGCAGGCGTCCTTGATAGTCTTCATGTCGACATTCACATACGTCACCGGTCGGCCGTTCCAGACGTTGCCGAGTCGTTTCACGCTGAGCAGGCGGTTGTAGGGATTGCGCGGGTCGTTTACAAGCGAGAAAAGCGAGTGCACGTCCGTTCCAGACAGTGCGCGAACGGTCTTGTTGTCGGACAGTTCTTTAGCAAAGGCAGTGGGCCGCGTCTTGACGGTGCAGAAGTTGCCGTCCTTGTCATAGTACTCCCAGGTGAACGGCTTCGTAGAGCACGGGGGAGGTCCTAGCATGAGTGTCAGGATTAGGTGAATTTCACGCAGCATCTTCTCCTTCTCTCCAGCAATAGTAGCCTTGATCGCGTCTGGCGATGCGTTGCTGGATGCGATAGCACGCAGACGGACGGCATCCTCGCGCAACTTGGTCGTAATCAGACGGTCCATGGTAGATGAGTTGGACGCGTTGAACGAGTCTGGGTAGAGCGAGTGCGGTACAAGACCATACTTCTGCACGAGGTTGGCCACCATATCCCACTGTCCGCCGTCACCGACAGGGCTGGACATCAGCGCCTGCACGATCCGGCTGTCAATCTCCTCACCCTTCGTATCCAGTATGCTTTCGAGGAAGTAGTTTGCCTTCTCAATCTTGTCCCAGTAGAAGAGGTATGCCTGCGACAGCTGGAACTCGGATAGCTTGTACTTCTTCATGATCGCAACGCGGAAGACGTTGGTGGATGCGAAGAGCCAGCATCTTCCGGATGAGGCTTGATTTGTGACGGGCGAGCCCTCGAAGGGAATCTTGATGTTGAACTTCTGGGTGTCTGCGATGACAGCGGATCGGGATGAGAGTACGGCGTTGGCAGAGTTGGAGCTAAGAGCTGCGAGAGCGAGGCGGTTCTACAGAGGTAAGCAGGAGACAGTATAAGAGCTGTGTGTAGTACCTTTGGGTCTTCCATAAGCTCCTTCTCCCACTCTGACACTGACGCGGCAGATACATCTTGTTGGTACTTGACGCCGGGGGTGTATCGAGGTGCTTTGACAGTTAGACTTGGTATACCATTCTCAACGTCATGTAACGTACGAGCCTCTCCGCCAACAACGACAAATCCATCCTTCTCGTTCATGGGTCGTTCATCCTTCATGTGGAGCGCCTGGAGTCGCTCCATCAACTTCTCATTAACAGCAGCATCGGACGGTCGTGACTGATTGTTGCCCATGATGAAGATGGGGACAGAACTTGCGGACTATCGTACAGCTCTCGATCAAGAGATAGCTATGTGTTGTAATCTGGGGAAGCTCTGGCTGCCCATCAAGGTGTCGCTCGTTATCGCGCTTATCGGGCGGGAACAACGCGTGCATGGGTCTCGTGGCAGCCCCACTCCGATCAGATGGCTGGCGCGGAAAGTGCCCGCCTCCATACCTTCCACATTCGATCGACGTGCATCGAAGCATGATGCTTACACGCAAGACAGGCTAACTTGTGCACAACTCAGCATGCAGATGCACGTTACTCACGACTGTTGATCGGGTGCTGGAGTCTATCGTTGCCTGACTGCCTCAGCCACAACGCTGCGACCACCGCGCTATTACCGCGTACGAGGCTACCAGCATCGCCTAACGGCCCATCTCCACAGACCCTGAAACTCGTGACAGCCGTTTTGCTTCTTCATCAGGGCAGCGAGTGCCATTATATCACACCAATTTGATCACTTTTAACACGCATCCAACACTTCCATCATCAACCACGCATAGAGGCAATGCTGCAACACCGGCCCCAAACGGCGCGGCTGCTAAAAGAGGGAGATGAAGATGTACAGGGCCGAACGCGTGTTTCATCACGGCGCCGCAAGGCGTTCCCCTGAGCGTACGCATCACAGCCCAGTCAACGCGAGTTCCCGAAATATCGGTGTATCTCGCGCTCAGCCCTGCAAACAGAGACTTATATCCTGGTTTCCTCTTTTTGTTGCGCAAACATTGCACCTAGCCACCGACAAGCAACGATAGTCACCAGCGGCACGATTCACCATGGCGCAACGACCGGTATTTTGGCAGAAGCGCGTTCTCGTGCCCTTCTGGGTGGTGCGAATATGTATCATGCTCTTGATCATTGGAGCAGTAGGCATTTCGCTGAGCAATGTGAAAGAATTGGAAGACGTTATCCAACCCTCAGTCTCGTAAATCGCACCATCAACAGCGCAGACACAAAGCTTACAGCCAGTAGATTGCTCATTGTCATTATACTCTTCAGCTGTATAGTGCTCCTCATCGACATTCTCGCCATCCTGCTCTTCCTTCGCGATGCGCTGAAACCCGGCACTTTCCTCACCATGAACTCGTTCCAGACTGCGTTCTGGGGCGTCGCCTTGATCATGGAGTTTGCGGATATTGGCAAGGGCGGTAGCCACGTCGGGCTTGGATTCGGCGTCTTTGTATTGTACGTTCAGAGTTCAGGAGGTCGTTTGCAGTACTAACACATCGCAGCCTCAGCTACTTCGGTCTCTTCATCTACTCGGTCATCGGTTATCGTCGCGCGAAGGCAGAGGCCAAACGAGGCCAGTACGCACCGGCGCACAACCCATTCGGGGGTTCCGTACCTGCTCAGGAATCATCTCCGTATAACAGCGCACCCGAATACCAAAATACCGCATACCACTCGCAGACGCAACCTGCTGAGATGAACAACCAGTATCTTCCGCCATACCAGAGCGGTGCTGCGACCGACTACTACCAGCAGCCGGTGAAGCCTGCTCATATCGTATGAGCGAGAGATGGAGATCTTAAGGATCTGGCGAAGTGCAGAGAAATATAGAGCATTTGGATAAGGCGTTCTGGCAATTAGGAGACATTGATACTACGGGTTCCGGATACTTTCACATGTCGACATGCCGCATGAACCTTCATGCGCAGCGGTCCGAACGATTCAGTATTGAATAATGGAAGCATAGTTCTTCGAGGAACGGGCCGTTTGATTACATGCGCGGGATGACATCCCATATGGTCAGTGTGAGGAACGGTTCCCTGAAAATCGATCGACGGATATATGAAAGACCATGAACCAAACTACTTGCATATCAAAATCCGTGAATGACACCTCAAGCTCCTCACACGTGCGAAAGACTACCGGACGCTCCTGCCCATTTGAGTGGCTGCAGCCGAGGCGCTAGGGGCGACACCCCCAAAGGCTTGGGAGTGTCTCCGTTTCGGAGGTCAACAACCACTCACAGCCTCAAAGCCGATGTTTCCAGCATGTCACGACCATGGTCATTTATGCGAGGAGCAATCAGATCGCTGCTACCCGCACGTTGTGACTAGACTGCGGCGTGTGCCATGGCTGTGTTCCTGACCTCTGTTCGCCCGTTCGGCTCGCATAATGCTTGGAACATTAGCGGTGGATCAAGACTGGGGACTCTGTGGCTGGCGTAAGGATAGGTCGGGAGAAGGGTGTTGTTATAAACGTCAGGTGCGCGCTGTTTACTTGCATAGGTCTCAGGTCGCTCCGTCAAACACATTCGCTTCGTCGTCTTCCATTCGTTATTCAAGATGCGATCCTTCCTACTACTCGCTGCGGCAGTTCCTTTCGCTCAAGCCGTTCGCATCGTTCAGTCAAACGATGACGGCTGGTCAGAGGCAAACCTTCGCACCTTCTTTGACGTCTTGAACTCTGCTGGTCACGAAGTCGTACTGTCTGGTCCCGCTGAGAACCAGTCTGGCAGAGGTTGGTAGTCGAGTCATGGCCATATACACATGCTGACTTATATCAGGATCTTCCGACGCACCCCCGAAAACCGTTGATTCAGACGGTTGCATTCATGCGTCCTGCCCAGGAGGAAGCCCGCCAACCGGCGCGAACGCGACAGACCCTCGCCTAAACTACGTCAACTCTTTCCCGGTCACCTCGATCAAGGAGGGAATCGATGTCACTGCCCCCAAGCTCTGGAACGGCGCAAAGCCTGAACTCGCTCTGACCGGACCGAACGTCGGCAGCAATGTTGCTGTTCAGGTTCCCTTCTCCGGCACAGTCGGCGCCGCTGCATTCGCGGCAAAGACGGCTCAGATCCCAGCCATCGCCTTCTCTGGCGTGACAGGAGATCCTACTGCATGGAACGCACCTACTCCTTTCCACAGCAAGGTCTATGCTGATCTGGCTTTGAACGTTACCACGACCATCATCAACTCTGGAAAACCATACCTCCCAGCAAACTCTTTCCTGAACGTCAACTTCCCCGCTGTATCCGAGACCAAGTGCAGCGACCCCAGCCAGTTCAAGTACATCTTTACGCGCATCAACACTGGTCTTCTGAGCGCTCGTGATGCCGAATGGTGCGGTAGCACGCGCCTGCCGTGGGAGGCGGACGTCATCTTGATCCGTGGAAGCGACTGCTACGTTACCATCAGCCCTGGCGATGCAAACGACAAGACGACCATGAACGATGCTGCAGTTCAGACTGAGATCATCAACAAGCTCAAGCCGATCCTTTCGTGCTTGCCTTAAGCTGGGAATGATTATTGGGATGGCTGAGCATGAAGCTTTTATGATGTACATAATACTATGATGGATAATGCCGCTCCAGAAAATCCCTCCAATCTGTTCTTGATCGCGACGCAACCAGCCTAATGACCCTAATCAAGCAACTGAAGTGAAAACACGTGAGGCTGATGAGTCATCGTTAACATTAGGGTGAAGGTAGGTGTAGTCTTACCTCTTAATGGTCAACACCGTCAACCAACCTGCAAGATTTACGATATTCACACCAATACCATGTCAAACCACGGCGATGTCGAAATATCAGCACCGCGTACCGATAAATCCTTATCACTTGCAGCGCGCATGAAATCGTACGAAGCACGCTTCGATCAAACCCTTCCTCTAGACAAACCCATCATCCTCCGTCTAGATGGCCATGGCTTCTCACGCTTTACCTCTCACTTCGCGCGCCCATTCGACGAGCGCATACACACCGCAATGATATCAACCTGCGCCGATCTCCTCCATTTCTTCCCCCGAGCCACAGTCGCATACACGCAATCCGACGAGATCACCCTAGTCTTCCCAGAAGGCGTGCAGAGTTTCAACGAGCGAGTACAAAAGCTATGTAGTCTAAGCGCTAGCTACTGCTCCGTAAGATTCAACAAGCATCTCACTGATGCTCTGAAGGATATGCCCGAGCCGGAGGTAAAGGGCGATGTGGAAGAAGTGCTTGGAACGGCACATTTCGATGCGAGGTTCTTTCCTGTGCCTGACATAGCAGAGGCGCTTAACAATCTCATCTGGCGCTGTCGCAATGATGCTGTGAGGAATTCTGTTTCTGCTTTTGCAAGGACTATCTATTCGACCAAGGAGATGAATGGGAAGAAGACGCAGGAGCTTGTTAGTATGATGCTAGAGGAGAAAGGTGTCAGGTTTGAGGAAGCGGTGCCGAAGTGGGCGATAGAAGGATGCTTGATAAAGAGAGAGCGGTATGAACATGAGGGTGTGAATTTGAAGACTGGGGAGGTTGAGAAGACGTTTCGAACAAGGACGCGGGTGGAGGAGAGGGGTATTCGCGAATTTGGAGATGAGGGGTTGAAGTTGGTGACAAGTAGGTATTGGTAAAGTAACTTCGTGAACTTGTTGCTCTTCTGCGCGGCAACCAGGCTGCGACAACAGCCACAGCGATCAATCGTCACATGCAACCCACTCGTATGTGTGCTTTCCTTAATCCTTTCTTAGTTGATATTGAATCCGCGAAGAATAAAGGTATACAGCTGCGTACAATTATTACAGTGTGTTTGCGTTGCGATAATATAACGTGTTGCTCAACCGCTCCATTTGGCGTTCCCAGACCAGCGCAATTAAAAAATGAAAAAATAAAATAAAATTAAACAGAAAGATGTGGGTCACGCAAGCAACTCATACCTGATCTCCTCTATGCGTAGAATGCTGCAAAAAAAGAAATTGGGGCCTGACCGGGATTCGACTAGACGCTATTAGTTTGCGTTCGATTTCGAATCTTAATGGGTGAACTTACACCCGGGGCCTCCTGCAGAATAGGCTTATCACGGTCACGTGATTTCCCAAAGCAGGAATCATACCACTAGACCATCAGGCCGATGGATCTCTTGAAGAGATGATTGATGAAAGGCTGTGATTTTGGTGCGGTTATATAGCGGGTTTTGCAATAAAGGGGCTGCGTCGAAAATTGGGGCATTAGCGTTCCCAAGCGAGACATGTTGCATCTACCCCACCTTAGTCCACTAGTCTCACTATCTTGCCCCTCGGATTTGACCCAAGAATATTGGATATTGCATTTTCATGTTTCCACCGCGACTCGTTTTTGCTCGACACACTTAGGACCCCAAGAAACTTTCCGATGCACTCGATATAGAGCCTCAACACCACATTCATGATCTGGATGTCTAGAGCCTGCGTTGTCAATTTAGTGATCGCACTTGAGAACAGTCATGGGGTCGCAGCAATGTGAAATCATAAGAAAGTGCAACACTGAAGCACAGCATGCGAACAAGTTTACAAATTCAAGACCAACTGTGCGCCGTAAAGGCATATACATAATCATGAGCATTTATTCAGGTTCCGTCCCTTTGATCGGCCTCCTAGAATTCAAAGAGGTTTTCGATCCCTCCAAAAAATGTACATTTGCTCAAACAAGACATCAGAGTGTGTAGAATCACACCGTGTTATTGACCATAAGACAAGCGGCAAAAAGATGGGTGTAACGAGAGAAGCCATCTCGACTGGAGAAGTTCTTGGAATTGTCACTTGGTCCGCAAACACTAATCTGCCAGAATAGATGCAATGAGTATTTGCACATACGCCGCATATAATGGATGCAGAAAGCGTTCATGACTCATAGTTGAAAGCTTTATCACTGCCTAGGAACATTGCAACGTTCAATTAAGAGCTTTGCGGATTGCGCAGAAATGGCGCGTTTTGCCTCCAACCATTCATGATTACACCGTCATACTCATGTATCTAGCAACCCGTAGCTTCAGGTCCAGCCTGCTTAGATACCAACGGTATGATTTGTGTAGCGCGCTGTGTTGCATTGCGCAAGTACGTGTGCTTCTCAACTGAGTAAGCCCGGTCAACCAAATCACGATGTGATCGCTTCTCGAGCTGTCCAGGCCATTCTATCGTGAAAAATGAATCCTGCAATGCAAGGGACACTGCGAAAGCCTGACGTGAATCCCATGGCAGTGTGGATCATCTTCTCCACCGCAACCGCTACCACGACCGTGCATGCTGCGCGGTCAGACTCTTATCATGGAAGAATGAAAACTTCTCCATCTTAGATAACGCATCAAGTACAGAATTCCCATGTTTGCTCAGAATGATGTACCTCTGGCGTGTTGGCGACACTATCCGCGACCAATCACCACAACTACCACCCAGCCCTGTGTCTCCACAGCCCCGCATTCCGGATACCGGTTGGGAACAGGCGCGACCCACTCAGACCACGCAGGCCAGCCGTGCCTGCAGGTGCCAACATCGTGAGATTGATGCTCGTACGTCTGGGTGGCAAGCCCAGTAAGCTAATCGTTACCAAATCTTATGCCGTGTTTCCGTCACGCGCCTAGTAACAAGCTTTTGCCCTGCTCATCTGTAGCGGCGTTCATCTAGGGTCTCAACGAATCGTGCGGCTGGGTCGCCGCGGAAGTCACGATGCTTTGTCGGCCAGCCAAGGTGAAGGAAGGGGAGGTACGCGTATGAGCTGCAATTACATCATGCCTGTGTGACATATACATGTCAGCACAGGAGCGCCCTGGCTTGTCGCTCAACATTGTGTTTCCTCTCGTCTTGTCTTCTTACTTTCAACAATCAGTCTGCAAATACACAATCTCAGTCATGGCAGCTTTACGGTCTTCGAGAACGTTGCTTCGACGTTTCGCGCGCCCAGCGCCACCTGCGTTTCGACTTCAGCCTTGCACGACCCCTCTTCAGCGTCGAGGTCTCGCTTCACACCAGGACGCAACCTATCCTCAAGTTCCATACGAAAAACATGAGACTGTTGGAGAGAAGCGGTTTAGCCAGTTCGACCTCGATGGAAAAGTGTTCGTGGTTACAGGTGCAGCATGCCGTCCTCCTCCCATCTCTAGAGCAATGATGTGCTTTTGTGACCCGTATTAACGTATCAACAGGTGGAGGTCGTGGATTAGGCCTATGCATGGCTGAAGGTCTCGTGGAGGCTGGCGGCAAGGTGCATTGTCTCGACCGGTTACCAGATCCCCCTCAAGCATTCCAAGAGGCTCAGGGCCGTCTCAAGAGCAACATCGGTGCGAGTCTGCAGTACCATAGAGTGGACGTTACAGACGAGCAAGCGATGCGAAAGTGCATCGGCGGCATTGCGTCGGAGCACCAAAGGCTTGATGGCCTCATTGCAGGTAAGACATTCCCAGACATGTTGGAAGCCACATACTGACCATCCCTTCTCCAGCTGCCGGCATCCAGCAAGTCACACCCGCGCTAGATTTCAAGAAGGAGGACATTGCAAAGATGCTCGACGTCAACTACACCGGCGTGTTCCTAGCAGCCCGAGAATGCGCCCGTCAGATGATGGAATACAAGATCCAAGGCTCAATCTGCCTGGTCGCAAGCATGAGTGGCACCATTGCCAACCGAGGCTTCATCGCGCCCGTTTACAACTCATCCAAGGCGGCGGTGGTGCAGCTGGCACGGAACTTGGCCATGGAGTGGGGAAGGAAGAATCCAGATGGCTCAGGGGGTATCCGAGTAAACTCTCTGAGTCCGGGTCATATCGTTACACCGATGGTTAGTAATATCCATGTACGAACTGTATGTGAGACAAATACTGACTTCGTACACTCATCTTTAGGTGCAAGCCAACTTCGACAAGGGCGAGGCCAGCCGCGAGGAATGGGAGAACAACAGCATGTTGGGCAGGCTCAGCACTCCTGAAGAGTACAAGGCTGCAGGACTGTTCATGTTGAGCAAGGCGAGCAGCTACATGACTGGGCATGATCTGAAGCTGGATGGCGGTACTACCGCTTGGTAAGAAGGCTGTTGTCGTACTGTGGGATATGTCTTTTGAGCGTTCTCAGCGACAGGTTGGCGTTGGTGTGGATTAACGCCGTTACGAGATAGTCTAGTTTTGATAAGCTTTCTAAACCCGGATGATCAGACTTCTGTCAAGTTAGCGCGAATATGTGGTCGTCTCAATATATTGAAGCTGGAAGAGTGATGGCAAGACGCTCCTCCCAGTCGCTGTTCTAGTTCAGGGTCCGCACGCGCCTTCCCCACTCCGCGCTAGCTTACAGTCGGACCATCTGTCCTTCCGCGCGCTCTTGCGACAGCTGTACATTTCGCGGAGCCACCAAGAGGGCAACAACTCGAGTCCGCAAGCGCTGCAGCTCTCCACACATCCCCAATCCAGCATGGACCGGTTAGCACGTCTTCTCAGCTGCGTGCTGCTGGCGATCCTCCCCCTCGCCGCGGCCCTGAAATTCGACCTCCACCCGGTCGCACCACACGACTCGGCCAAGTACGAGCGATGCGTTAGGAACTTTGTTGCAAAGGACCAGTTGGTGGTTGTCACGGCGATTCTGGACGGATACCGCGGAGATGGACAGAGAGTGGATATGCATGTACGTTGCAATTCCAGCGCCATGTCAACAGACCAGCGTGATGCGAGCATTATACTGTGTGGAGACGTTACTGACAACGACAAACAGATCCGCGACGCAATGGGCAACGACTACCACCGACCCAAAGACGTAGTGGGCGAGAACCGCTACGCCTTCACCTCGCACGCCGACTCAGCCTTCGACGTATGTTTCGAGAACATCTTCACCTCGTCCGGCTCGTCCAAGAACATCGCACCCCGCCACGTCGAGCTCGACATTGACATTGGCGCCGACGCCAAGGACTGGAACGCCATCCAAGCCGTCGACAAGCTGAAGCCTGTAGAAGCTGAACTCAGGCGGATCGAGGAGACGGTTGGCGAGATTGTCACCGAGATGGATTACCTGAGGAGCCGGGAGCAGAAGCTGCGTGATACCAATGAGAGCACCAATGAGCGGGTCAAGTGGTTTGCGCTGGGCACTATGGGTATGCTCGTTGGATTGGGGGCTTGGCAGGTTGTGTACCTCCGCGCCTACTTCAGGAGCAAGCATCTCATTTAGAGGTGTGGAGTGGAGAAGAAGACTTGGAATATGGTCGTTTTGGTTAAGAAAGAGACGTCAGGTACGGATGGGTATGGATACGAGTACGGAGCGTTATGGCCTGCATACTTCACACACGATTGGAGCGGCGTTGGTAGGACATATCCAGATTTCAAAACATGTTTACGATAGTTCAAGACGTCTTCCAAGCCCTTGCCTCAACTCCTAGTTCCCTTTTGTTGGTAATCTACCCACAAAGCCCCAGGCGTCCTGTCTTTCTCCACAGCCCTGATACCTACTACCCATCCAATGCCCCTCGCCAACCCCAACAGAACCAGTATGACGATCCATTCCATCCACCCCTCCACCTTCCTCTTCCACCGCCCAACCCACAGCACCTCAGACCACGTATGTCTTACCCGCAGATAAACCCCTTCTGGCAACGGCCACCCATACCATTCCGCCCCCAACATGTTCCTCAACCCCAACACCACAGGCCAATTATCCAACTCCCAAAACACGTTCCACAGCAGAAACTCCACCCACCAACGCCCCAACACCCATCGCGCAAAATGCTGAAGCGGAGGCAGCGTCGCGGTAGAAGTTGCCAGTATAACGCCATTCAAATTCCAAAAGAAAAGCGCTTTCCCCCCATCCGCCGGCTCCGTCCATTCCTCCACCACCACCTCGTCGTCGATATCAACCGGAAAACGTGGTCTGACACAAGATGGTCTGTGTTTCGCTAGATACTCTCTCGCTCTACCCCAATTATGTCGTGCGTACTTTGGGGTCTGGATAACCAGTCCGGGTTCAGTCTTGTAGTTGCCGTAAACGGCTACCTCGCCACCGGCTGCAGCGCTCAGAATCTTGGTTTGCCCGTCGAGATACACGAAGATGGAGCCGCGGACGAGGTGTAAGTATTCTGTGTGAAGGGTGTGGAAGTGGAGGCCTGATGTCCATTTTGAGTGGCGGGGGAGGGAGATTGTTGTTTTGGACAAGGATTGAGTGGGAGAGGGAGGGGAGACGGGGATGTGGTAGGTTACTGCGGAGGGCCCTGGGCGGATGATGGGTTGGGTTCCTGGGGGAGGAGGGTTTAGGACTGTAGGGGAGGGAACGGGTTTGGAGCGATGGAAACGCCCCCTGGGCATCTCGGTTGGATGTGCAGGGTGTCGTGGTCTAAGTTGCATTTCTTTGAATGGAGACTGGGGAAAGACTTATGGAAAGGGAGATGTGATCTCGAGTTGTGCTACGTGCAGTGTATTTTCTGTGGAATGATTCAAGTCGAGGGCCTGCGATAACTGTGCCGCCAATGTAGTGGGGTAGCTATACAACATATATGTTGAAGTGTAGTCTGGCTGCCTAAGCATACTGTGTGATAATCAGCAAGGGGCGGCTGACGTTCGTTAGGTACCTAGGTACTGTAAGACAAGCGGAACAAGTCCGCACCGGTAGCAATATGCAAGCCACTGTACAGAGCTCTAGCGTACCAAACTCTAGATCTCGTTGACGACAACGGCGCAAGCATAGTGATATTTATATTTAATTTGATATTGGTATGTGGTAGTAGTGGTAATGCTTGTACAAAGCTGTTGATAATGTAAACGCTTCAGTCCATCCAACCCATGTCCCTTCCAAAAGTATCAAGGCAAGAATGCCATACATATGATATGTCCAATACGCCATGGTACATATCTCATCAGTCAGACGCCGCGATAAGTATAAGCAAGACACCGCTCCTTTATCTAACCAAGTCGCCATGCTAGAACGATCAAGAAAGAAGCAGTAGTAGTAGCCAGGCAATAGAGGTTAGCTATGCATTTGAACGCCGGAAAACAGTATTCAAAAAGGAGGAAGTAAGAGAGAGACTAGAGGTAAGCGGGTAAGTTACTCGCTGTCCCCCTCGATTTCCTCTTCTTTGCCACCAGCAGTAATGGCAATGCGCTTCTTGGGCTCGCCCCACATTTGCTGTCGAACCTTCTTCTTCTGGTCGTCTCTCAGCGTCTTCAGGAACCCATATGTACCCGTCAGGTCGTTCAATTGCTGGTCTAGGCCAAAGCTGTTGCTCTGCGCGGCGCGTATCAGAGGGCTGATGAGGTTCTTGCGTGCTTTGTCTAGCTGGTCTCTGACGGAATGGATAATTTGGATATGCACTTTGAGCTCGGATTTGTTGATGAGGGTCGACGCGCGCACGTCTTTGAGTAGCTTGAGGTTCTTCTCGTACTTTTTGATCTTCATCTTGTTGTTGATTGAGGTGCGCCACATGGAAGCGAGGAACTCGTCTTTGCGGTTTGCGAGCGAGTCTTCTTCTTTGGCAACGGAGCGGTGGAGGTTGTGGAATTGGCGGTCTACACTCTCGAAGAGTTGGAAGAGGACGTCTGCGCGCGCGAGCTCATTTGCAATGTTCTCCTCTAGAGTGGTCAGGAGGTAGTCGAACGTGCGCTGCAGGGTAGCTTTCGACCGCTGTTGTGTAGTATGTCCCAGGATATCGTTGACAACACGGCCAACGGCTGTAGCTTCGCCGTTGCGCTCAAGCAGGCCAATCGCGTTGAGGCCGCCGTGGACATTGTCGATGACTGTGTCAATCATGCCAACCTTTGGGCCCTGAATACTTGCTAACTCTCGCTTGGCCCACTCCATAGTAATGAGGATGCTACAGTTATCAGTAGGTGTACGAGGTCAAGAAGGCTATACCTACGAGTCCATGTCGCCATCTACGTTGGTAAAGAAGCTGGTAATCTTCTCGGATAGGATCCTGAGACTATCGCCTAGGTCGTCCAGCTGATCGATGATAACAGGCGACGCAGACATGTTGGTCGCGCGGACGCTCTCTCCCAGGTCTTGCACGGCGATGCTGGCGTCTGCGAGCTCGCGCGACCGTGGAATGACACTCTCTGAAGCGTATAGCAAAGGCTCAAACTGTTTCGCCATGCTGGCGACGTTTGCGACATCAGGAATAAGACTGGCCTGCCAGGGATGCAGCAATAGGTAAGACATTAAAAGAGTCGCGACAGTAAAGATAAGGTTGGCTCTTGACCTCGTAAAGATGTGAAGGCCACTTGCGAAGGTGGTGATTGTATCTTCGATAGGCGCTGTGCGGAACTTAGCTTCTCCTCTGTACGCAAAGCGCATGACTATAGCTGTCAGTATAAACAGCGCGCATTGATTCGCATTACTTACAACCCTCGACTGGCCCATCGTCATGTTGCGACAACGTCGACTCGGTCCCCGCCAATGCGCCCGCGCTCGGTTGCGGCTCCTCCTCCGGGCTCTGTAGTCGCGACGCAATGTTGGTCGACATGTATCTCTGCTCCTCCTCGGGAATGGGTTCGGGGCTGGTGCGCGGTGTTTGCTTGTAGGGCGACTCTGGCAGTGGTATGCGCGAGGGTGTGACGTCGCGATCGGTGCGGTACTCAAACGGCGACTTGGACGGGCTGTTGCGCATGGCGCTTTCACCAAGCAGCGACTTTCTGTACCAGTGATTGCTAGATTGCGACTTTTGCCATGCGGGTGGCGCCCACGGCCCGTCCGACTCGGTTTCACTGTCTACCTCGTCCTGGGGCACGCTCCAGCGCGACGAATGCATGTTGGAGCGCCCACTGTAGGCCGAGTGCATGCTGCGCTCCGGGTCGAAGGCTTCGAGCGACGCGCTCAGCGACGGGATGTCGTGCTCGTATAAGCTCCCGCGATCAGTCGTGTCCATCATGGTTTGCGCGCAGTCGCTGGTGGCGGAGGAATGGGAGGAATGGGCGGAATGGGAAGGCTGGTTCGCCGTCTCAGCTATGCGGTACTACGGGCGTGTCGAGGCTCTGGCGGGCACATGGGAGTACCCTTGTGACGCGTGAATAGGCAGGAACGGTGCAGGTGGTGGGTGCCTAGCGCTTTGGTCAAGACAGAGTCGAGAGGGAATGCGATCATGGTGGAGGAGCCCACAGAGAGTCCCCGTATACCGCCGATAAGCTAGCCCGCCTATGCGAGCGCATCTAATCGCCCGTGTGCTGTCCAGGGCTGCAGTGGGGTGAAACGGAGTGGCTGGGAGCTGAGTCTTGATTGGCTGTCGTCCATCCGGGCTAGTGCGGGGAAAGCGCGACCGCGACCCCGTGACGCCCTGCAGCACGCATTCCGTACCCTTGCAGCCCACCGCCCACCATGCCCGTCCGAGTGGTGACGATAACATTCAGCAAGCCCTTGGTCTTTGCGTCCTCAATTCGAGTAGAGTCCAACATCACTCATCGCCAGCAGAAGGGTGCGCATTGCGGAGTTGCTGCCCTCCGATTGGCTGTCATTGCTGTGGAGCAACACTGCGGGACGGGGGCGAGCGACTGACTTACATGATATGCACCATACTGGGTACTAGCTCCATCTAAGGTAGCAGTGACCAATGAGCAATGCCCGACGATCAATGCAAAGGAAGAGTGCAGTCAAGCAAGAAACAAACCTGTCGCCAGTTCTAGATGGGCACAGGTGGGGACAGCTGAAATAGACGCGCAAATGGAGGCAAAAGCAATGCGATCTCAAGGGTGCAAGGTGTATACATCGACTTGGAATGTTTTCCGGCCAAAACCATCCGACAGCCTGGAGCTAATCAATAACTTCTACATTGAAGTTAAGCCAATACAAAACACACTGACGTCCTCCGGCTACCTCATATCCAGCAAGTCTGAAATTTGATCATGGCGGCCGTCTGCAGCGGAGCAAGGAGACGGCAGACCAGCTGCCCAGGAACAACTTTGGGCAGTTCAACGGGCAGCTAGATTGACCCATCGGCATTGCCATGGTCGACCAGCAGTGCTTGCGGAAAATTAAGCTTGATAGCGTATTCCTGCTAGAAGTAGTGTGGAACGGCTGGATTGGTGGCCCTTCCATCGACGACCTTTTCGAATGTGACGTTTGTACTATTCCTTCCGTATACGACGAAACCGATGATGTTGTGCACCTTGCGTTCGGTTCCTTTATTCTCCTTGTTGCGGCTGTTGTGGTCTTTGGTGTGATCTGTCTCGACCTTGACTTTCTTGAAGAAGTCCGAGACCTGCTTAACTATGCAGTGCCAACTTCTTCGACGGTAATCTGATACGTGTTCCCCAGACGAGCATTGGTCAGACCGATTTCCTCGTTATCTGTTGGCGGAGGAAAACGATCACTACCTTTGGGATTGTATATAACAGTGTATTCCAAGTCGAGTTTCAACTTGGCTAGAGACGCAACCTTGGAAGGTTCTTGTTCCAGTCGGTGGCAATATTGGCTGCTGAGAAAGGCGGCATACTTAAAAGGTATTCGATCAACCGCCTCTTCTGTCCATATCGTTCTCGAGCTTGGCGACTTGGGCATTGGGCTGCCGGAACTGGCCATTGCTGCGTGTGTTGGCTTGATTTCTGTGTTTTGACTGATTCTCATATATGCGTGGCGACTACAGAGGTATAGATACCGTTGAAAAGATATCCTTGTATATGCATGGCAATGGATCGAATTGATACAAGTGGCTTGAGTGATAGGGACTGGAAGAGACAAAGCGTAAGATATTTGTGGCGAGATCGTAACTGCTACAAGAGCGATGGAGTGACAGGCAACTGAGACCAGAGCTCGTTCGTGATAGTCTCAACCGGAAGCCCGGCTACAAATGGCCACGACTTTCGTCTCACCGGTTCTTTTCTCCCTTGTGTAACGCTCTCTACGAATCAGCTCGTTCGGCAGAAGTCGGAACCCAAACTGCACTCTGAAGGCATACGCTGTATTATACAGCGAATTACTGCACAGTATAAGATATTGAAGGTCTCCAGGGGATATTTCAGGCGTAGACGCATGCGTTGCATCTTAGATCCGGCAACATCAAATTATGGTGGTGAGTTGCCGAACACGTTGGGTTGATCTGGGGTAAAGGCAAACTGCGCACGGACGTTGTAGCGCGACATCGGCTTGAATATTCGGCGTCACTTTGCAAGAACATCACCAAGCCGACTCCACAGCACAACACAATGCCGCCACGATTAAACGTCCCCGCGATCACGCGCTCGATCGCGTTCCGGCCGAGGCCTCAGGCTCAATGGCCTGCTCGGTCAGCGCTTCGAATGGCGCCGTCGCAATGCCGCCTCTACTCGGATCAAACCAAGCCTCCCGCCGCCGACCGATCGAAGCGAGAGGATGCAAAGCCGATTGAACATGTCTCGGAAGAAGCAGCCTCGATGGCCAAGACAATGGGAGAGGACGGTCCCGACCTCAACCAGGGCACACCAATTGAAGATGTGGGGTCATCCACAGCAAACATGGCAAGGCGAAGGCTGACAGCGTGCTAGGTAGTCAAGGGAGACAAAGAGGCGCAACAGAACCTGCCCAAAGTGATGCAGGACAAGCTCAACTCGCAAAAGCCCAAGACGACACCGAACATGGCACCCAAGGGCTCGCGGTCCTATTCGACTATGACGACACAGCCAAGCGGGAGCAGCGGCGTGGACATGGGTCTCGTAGACTTTCAGGCTGCCTCAAAAGCACCAACGACGCCAGGACTCAAGTATGAGATGCCCACTCTGCCGCTGCCCAAGGACGGCCATGTCAAGCATCGCCACGACCCCGTAGTCGACCAGGTCACCAATCTGCTCATGCGACACGGCAAGAAGAGCGTTGCGGAGCGAGTAGGTCAGCCACCCTCGAATCAGAGTCTACAAACAACTGACATGACTTGCAGAACATGGCGCTGATCCTGCAACACCTTCGGACATCACCGGTTCCCACCATTAACCCAGCACGACCTCTGCTTCCTGGCGCGCCGCCACCATCGCATCTACCCCTCAACCCTGTGCTTTACCTCACTCTCGCCATTGACTCTGTCTCGCCTCTGATGCGCATCCGAAGTCAGCGTGGCGCTGCTGGAGGTGGTGTTGCCCTTCAGATCCCCGTTCCGCTGGGTCAAAGGCAACGGCGACGTTCTGCTATCCAGTGGATCCTGGCCGCAGCTTCTAAGCGGAGGAATATGGGCAGTGGAAAAGGCAGCTTTGCGCAGCGTATTGCGCAGGAGCTCATTGCTGTAGTACAGGGCACGAGCGGCATCTGGGACAGGCGCAATGCTATCCACAAGCTTGGTGTTGCTGCACGAGCTAACATTGTTCTGCCCAGGAAGAGGTAGACTGCTGTTAGTTAGGGAGCCTCCATGTATAATATATTTATTGATGCCTGCACTCGTATGCATCTCTTTTCGCCTTACGTCGGTTGATTCGGGAATGATGAGGTAACTTTCATTGTTCTTTTGGCTAGATCGCAGGAAGCTCCACATGGGAATCCATGGATGGAGCGACTGCCAACACAGCACAGCCACACCCTGGGCTGCTTCACTAATCGCCAAGCATCATATGAAAGATGCGCGCTGCTGTTGGACTGCTCAGATATGCGTGCGCCTTGATAAACCAAGACTAAGAAGAACCTATCGCAAAGGCTTTCAATATCCACGCGTTGCTGCCTAATCATACCAGACTCGTCACTCGTCCCTGCGTCAGCGGCGTGGCAGTCTCTGGTGATCTTCGCCTGCCAAGCGCTGCCAAATCGCCAGATGTTGAGGGAGGGGTTTCATGCCCACTTCGCATCGCCTGGACCAAGAGCACCCGCGACCATCGACGCGCGCTGACTGTTCGTGCATAGCTTCACCGTCTGCTGCTCGCGCTTTGACTTCCACATGTCGTCCGCCTCCATCAACCTGCTAGGGAACAACTTGTTCTCCGACAGCGGTTAGCTACACTGTATACTACGGTTCGGCCCGCCATCGCTTTCAGCTACTGCCAGCTGCTACAGTCTTTGGAATTGCTACCCCACCGCTGCTATTAGTCCATCCCATCACGCGCTCACCCCACATCTTTCCAGACGACTGCGCTCGGGACTGCATCGCTGCTATTTGTAGCCCCTTCACCCGACAGCACACAGCACCGCCTATGATGCCATAGCGCGACGCCAATTGATACCTTAATCACTTCTGCTACCCCGCGAGCACGACCGCGTTCTACTACCAAACTTCCACTTCGACCAGCCGCCAGCCTCACTCACTTGCTCCACAAACTCCACAGCCCGCACTCCACACGCGACTCCGTGTCTTCTCGTCCAGTTGCACACCGCCACCATGGCGTCACTCGAAGCTGCTATTGACGAGGAAATGAGAGAGGTCGTCAAGATTCTCGAAGGCAACCAAAAGCCCGGCGCACGACGCGCAGAGAGCCCAGCTGCGCGCGCGCAAAGTCCTGGCTCTGCTGCCTCGCCCATTCGCAGCATGCTGGACGTCGACTCGCCGGCCCAGCGTAGGAGCTCCAGCCGAGGCAGCACTGGTATCCCCTTCGCCATGCCCTCGTCACCGCGTCGCGTGAACCCCGAATCGGCGTACAAGTTCGAAATGCTGCCCTCCATCGACGCACATGCCATGCCTAAGCGAGTCTCGCAGGGTGGCAAGCTGGATGCCGCTGCGAAGCCGCGTGCCATGTCCTCCGTCTATGGCAACTCCAGCGGCTTCCTGGGCAATTCCAGGGACAGGCACAACTCCGCGAGTGGGCCTTTGGGCAGATCCAAGTCTGGCTCTCCGGGGCCAGGCCGATCTGCCTCCCCAGTAACGCGCATGGCCAACCCGACGCCGGCCGCACCAACATCGAACAACACTTTCGTCACAGACTCGGGCAAGCGCATTGACATGGACAAGGCATATCGCAAACTGAACGACTCTGCTTTGGCGCAGTCTGAGGGCGGATTGGCCTCACTACCGAATCGCAAGGGTGTTGATCCCGTCAAGGGCACTGCCACTGCGCCCGGTGGGGGCGTGCGCCTGGCGACAGACGACGACGGCGAAGATAGTGCTGCTGTCGAGAGTAGTGACAATGCTTCGGATAGTTCAGATTGGGAAGATGGGTGGAACAAAACCAAGGAGAGAAAACGAGGCAGGCAGCGGTCGAGAAAGTCGTCTGGAGGCACCGACAGCATGGGCAGAGAAGTCATCACTGCTAAGAGCCTGCTGGCTGCCGCCGAGCAAGAGCGTAAGTGTTGCAAACAAGATCGACTTGTACATCTCACTAACTCCACACAGGGCGAGATGTCGCCGTTTCCTACAAAGTACGATCATTACTAGACCCCAACATAAACATTACTGGCCCCAACGGGGAGAGGATATCGAGGAAGGGTTCGTCGGGAGTGGTACATCCCCATACCAGTTTTGACCAGGGCGGGTCTGGTCTTTCGACCCCAGTCCATTCAGACCACGAGGATGAGCTTGCCGAGATCAAATCAGCCCAGCAGCTTTCGCTGAACATCTCACCTATCCAATCCAGCCCGGAGGCCCACCGCTGTGTTCGACAAATAATCCGGGGCGACTACGTTCAGTTTGCTGAAGACGCGAAGAACGGATTGAGAAGACAGCGTGTGTATCTGGTGTCTACTGATCTAAGTGACGAAGCAGCCTATGCTTTGGAGTGGACCATCGGCACCGTTTTGCGAGATGGCGACACTCTACTCGCCGTCTATGCCGTCGATGAGGAAACTGGAGTCGCAACCACAGATGCTTCAGGTGCACCTATCAGTCAAGGTACTACCGGACGGCAGGAATCTGATCATCTCAAACGGACGCTGTCGAACCATGACGGGTTGCCAGCCACAAGACCTGGTTTCTCCGCGCTATCCAGCTCCATAATGGCTACCGAGGCCAACGTGAAGAACATGGGAAAGGCGGAGAAAGACAGGTACCAGGCATGCGTAGAGGTGTCGGACCGGTGCGTCAAGCTGCTAAGGAAGACCCGGCTGCAAGTGCGTGCCGTCGTTGAGGTGTTTCACTGCAAGAGCCCCAAGCACATGATTACTGAAGTGGTAAGATTTTGATCTGGCATCTAGTATTGGAGCGGTTTGCTGACAGCCGTTGAACAGATTGACTTCTTGGAACCTACCCTGGTGATCCTGGGGTCGCGAGGCCGCAACGCGTTGAAAGGGTGAGCTGATCTTTACAAATATTACGCGCGCAATTTCTAACTACGGCAGTGTTCTTCTCGGATCGTTCAGTAACTACCTTGTAACCAAGTCGTCGGTACCAGTCATGGTTGCACGGAAACGGCTCCGGAAACACAGCAAATACAAACGGCAGAACGTCCGGATGTCGAACGTGATCGCAGGCTCCAATGACAGGCTCGCAAATGCAAAGATCGATTGATGCTCGTTTGGAAATTTGTCAATTCGCGTTTTGGGGGGTGTTTTGGTCCGGCGGGTGGCTGCCATCGCAAGCCTGAGATTTGAGTTTCCAAAACGTGAGCGGTTTGGCCGGCAGCATCACGTGCCTGGCTTGGTAATGGCTGGAGTCTGGGTTCTGTTTCTCACAACACATGTATCTCTACACAGATCGGGGA